GCCTCCCTCTCTCAGCTACCTGCTGGAACTTCCCGTGGCTTACCTAGTACTCTCTTGCACAAAAACCACTTAGCCACCTTTTTTTACACCCATTTTTTCTCCATTTTCCCAACAGATCCATGACCAAGTGTCTGAATATAGACTTTGTCTTACAGAACATACACCTTAGAATCTGCCAACTCCCAGCTCTCCAGGCAGACGCCATCATGCTGCCAGGTCATGGGGTGGGTTGGGAGCCAGTTTAAAAGGTCTGCAAAAGTCACAATCTGAAGAAAAGGTATAAGGATGGGGGTGAGAGTGCAGAGCTAGAAAGAAGGCCAAGTACAAGAGAAGGTCAGACACAAAGCAGCTGAGCAATCCAAGGTGAGGCAGCAGCCAGGTCAGCATGGAGAGAAGCCAGAGCGGCTGCAGCAGGTTCATGCAACTCTGATAGGATCACCAACAGGGTGTTCCGGTATATTATGCCTCTTAAAATAGGCCTTAAAGAACAAAGGTAGACCCATGCTCAGTAGCATCTAGAGTCACACACGGCAGCCCTGGAAAGCAGTGCCTCGCTCTAGGTACAGGCAAGGCAGCTCAAGAGGCCCGAGTCCTAAGGCTCTTGGCACGAGGGGGAATGGCAGAACAGTACATAAGTCTGCCCTGTGTGGATGTGGTGCAGGTGATCACACCCAGGCCCTGTGCCTACCAGGCAAGCACTTTTCCAGTGAGCAACACCCAGCCCTGATTTTGTAGAGCTCATGTATCTTCTTCCCCGACACTGATTCACCTCAGCCGCTTCCTACCCCACAGCCTCCGTTCACACTGTCCCATTTCCTGAAGAACACCTCACCAGCTCTACCTCTCGGTGACACAAAGCCTGTCCCTCCTGGGAGGTCATCTAGCTCCAAGGCGTGAGTGTCTCTTGATCACTCTGCTGGCAGTGACTTCTCCCTCTCTGGAACACACAACCACTTAGCCTTTGCCATCCTTGGCCTGTGGTGTCTCCTGACACTTTATCCTTTAATCAGCTAATTTTTTTTTACCAGGAAAATGATAAACCATGCTACTTCATATAATTCACAATATTTTAAGTTTTTTAAAAACATACTATAATATTGTCACTTTTTAAAAATGATTATTAAGCCTCAAGGGAAAAAAAATGACACCAGGGGGCTGGGGTTGTGGCTCAGCAGGAGAGCACTTATCTCGCATGTGCGAGACGCTGGGTTCGATACTCAGCACCACATAAAAATAAATAAAGGTATTATGTCCAACTACAACTAAAAATATTTAAGAAAAAATGATACCAGATAAATTTGCCAAAATTTCAATCCTTTTGCATTGGGGCCTAAAATATGAAAAGCACGAGTTGTGAAAGTACAAGGATGGCCTGAGGCCTGAGCCTAAGAAACTCCATTTTAAAAACTCCAGTTTAACCTGCAGTCTCCCCAGGCACACCCACAGAGCCCTCCAGTGTGGCCTCAGACAAGTCACTTCCCCTCACCCTGATGAACAGCCCCCGGCAGGCTGTCCTCACCTGATAAGAGGGAAAGGCCAGAAGAGCAGGGTGGAGACCACCAGACCAGATGTCTCTGACCCCAGAGTGAATGATATCACTGAGAAATGCAGTGATAGCTGATAAGGATTGAAAGGGGGGTCAGAAGCCCC